ATAAATATTTCAATTCATTTAATGAAAAGTATATATTTTAAGAATCGCTATTTACATTTAGATTTGATAAAATTCTAAATTACATTCAAGAAGATGATTTTCTTTTTTTTTTTTTTTTCTTCTTCTTTTTTTATTGTGCAAAGGGATGAAACGAAGTTCGATCGAATTTTAATTCGAACTTTAAAATCGAAAACGAAATATTAAAATAGACATCGATGGGACGTTTCATAATTAAAACGAATGACGAGGATTAAATTTGCAGCGAGATAGACGAACGTTCGTTTCGGCTATCGAAATATTTAATGATGCATTTTCAATCGATCGCAATCGATATTCGATCGACAATTTATATTCGATATATTAGATATTTTATTCGTCCGAATAATATAAAAATTAGAAATGAGAAATGTGACGAACGATGTAGTTGAAATATATATAATAATAAGACGACGTACAATTGAAACGATAAATGTTCATCGTGTTAAGTATAGAATTAATTATAGATAATGAATAATTTTAGAGCGAACAGAGGTGCGTAATTAATTAATTAAGGTTAAAAAAAATATTTTATATAAAAAAGAATTCGATTATCGTCGGCGCCTATTTTCTCGAGAGAAAATTATATAATAGATTATGAGATATAAATCATATATATATATATATATATATATTAAGAATTTATTTATAGGTTAGAATATTTTAAACGCGAGATATAGATTTGTACATTATACTTGTTAAAGAAATTTTATTTACTTGGCCATCTATAATGTTGCGGATGGCTCGTTTCATCGTGGTTTTAAGAAAAACATTGTGCAATCATTTCGATTTTTTTCTTCAAAGAATGCGCCACATTATATATAGGAGTAATATTTTATAGTTTTTACTTTACTATACTATACTAGGTGCAATGTGATTCGTGGAATGATAAAAGATAAACAAATTTCTCGAGATATATTTTCAATCGAATCGTTTTTGAAAAATAATATATTTCTAGAGAAAATTCCTTCTCGATAGTTAAGGGAAATATTTTTTTGAATCAAGCTTTTTTTCAAGATGTTTGTTTCGAAAAAGAAATTCGTTCCAACAGAAATATTTGTAAAAAGGGAAAGAGTTTCCTTTATGAAAGAAATATCGTCGTGGAACGATCTTTTGTGCAAAAATAATTTAAGAAAAAATTATGTCTTTTTATAGAAAATTATCAGTTAAGTAAAATATTAGTTAGCCAACTAATATTGAAAAAATATTTGATTTAATTTTATTTTATTTTAGATTAGATCTTGCAACTTTACGACGAATCAGATTGCACTTTATATATTCCATACTCGCATTTTATCGTCGAATTTCGAATTAGGGGACGTTATTACGTTTCTTCCCACATCTAATAGGTACAAATATCATCGGTAATGTCCACGATCGTGCAAAATTAGGATTAAAAAGAGGCATCGACGAATGATTCTGAAGAGAATTCTTGTTTCGAATACAAGCGGTGCCATTCGTTACGAATGACGATCTTCGAAACTAGATCCTCGTTAGATGAACTTTTTAAATATAATTATTAATCACATAGAAGAAGAAAATATTCATTTCATTTTAATTTTTGATAATCGAAATTTTATTAAAACACATCGAATGCCATGTGAGTTAAAAGTTATCGCTATATCACAAAATTATACCTCTTGTGTTAACGAAAAATCGAAAATTGTATAATTATTGTTGAAATCGAAGAAACAAGGAGGGAAAACTAATTTTGGAACGTGTTTTCATAAGGAGAATGATTATATTCGAAATGAAGGTTTTTAGCTTGAAAAATTCTACGAAATGATGAAATAGCAGTTTCTGTCTGCTTTGGTTGGCTATTTCAAGCTCCAAGTTGGACGAAGCTTCGCCGTCTGAAATTTCTATTTTTGTGCCAGATTCGGTGGATCGTTTGAACAATAACAAATATACTTTAGTCTTTACAATCTGAAAGATACTTTTTTCTAAAATAAATTGACATTATGTCTTTGGTAAAATTAAAATGAGAGAAACGGTTAATTTTTTTTTTTTAAGCTTTCATGCTTTGGAAAAAAATATTTTTCGTTACAAATAAAAAAAGAGAAATTTTCTAAAATTAATTCTCTTTTATTTAAAAAAGAAAAAGAAGAGAAACTATTTTGGGAGCAAACAAATTTAACTCTCATGGCACTGAACGTATTAATAGAGATTCGAACGATCATTTATAGAATAATAAACCAGGGACCAATAGGGATTCGATGGCGCATCTCTCGTTCCTTCGTCGAACACGATCGAGAGGTTTCTCGCGCGATTTTGCGATATCATGTCACGTGAAAAATTGCTTATGGCTTTGATCCAAAGGCCTCGATTCAATTGGATTTCGCGTGAACTTCAATTAACTTATCTATCCGGTATAAACCGACCAGAGGAAAAACTTTAAATATGATCTCTTTAGATCTCTTGATGAGCTCAAATAACCGAGTTTACAATACCGAATCTGATGGAAAAAATTGTTTTCTCGTCTATACGCATTGAAAATTGAAATTTGGAAATTTCAAAATTTTCTTAAGTTTCGTATCAAAAAAAAAAAGTTTTTGTTCGAATTTGATACAATCACAGTAAAAAATATCAATCTTGAAAAAAAAATTTACCAAACCGTGTCGTGTGTGTTCACAATAAACTTATTCAGAAACATATTTCTACGTTATTTTTACGTCGTGAATATATCGTATTCATGGTGAAAAAGTGGGAAGTGCGTAAAAAAGAGAACACTGACTCAGTGTCTATCAATTACGTCTAAGCATATCCACGAACGTGGATATTCTTACCAACTTAAAGACCGATGTGTTTAACAGTGTTTTTTTTAAAGAAGATATTATTCTTCGCCTTTTTTAAGTTACGATTGGCTCTCCTGGTTTCAATTCAATTCGCTCATCGATGCTTGTATTTAATATCTGTAAGGAAATAATTATGTAAAAGCCTATAAAGAAAAATTTAATATTTTTAAACGCAAATTAAAAAAGAGAAAATTTTTTCGAAATTCTTTTTTCTAATTGAAGAATTTCCAAGTGTGTTTCTTTCAACATTTCTAAGCATTTTGAATTCTTTGATATTTTCAAATTCGTATCCAACATTCGAAAATAAAATACACATTTCTTCTAAATGTTTTATTTAGAAAAAGTGCACGCCACCCACATTATACGATTATTATATTCGTGGAAATATCAGCAAATTTACTCGAGGAAACCTCATAGATCGTTAGATAGAAGAATCATAGCCTGGCACGTAGGTGATCGTGTAATTTCGTGTGTACAAAAATGCCAATTGAACGCAGTTTTTATCGAGAATAAAAAGAAAAAATATATATATATATAAACGACAGAGTTAATTTAATATATTCTATGAACGAAGCTTTATATAAATGATTATATATATATATCTATATATATGTATATATACATATATATAAATATATATCTATACATAAAATATTTCTATATAAACAGATAATATATGTATACACTAAAGAAAATATACACGCATTTACAAACCTTATATACACCGAGAATAGGAGATATAATACACAAATACACGCGCGAATTATACATTTATCTAGGTCTCATTTATCGCGAAAAAAATGAATCGTTCGTAAAATTCATTCGTACATGCTCTACGATATCGTATGCATTATATTATTTATCCACAGAATCTATATATATATATATATATATAAAATATATATATATATATATATACGTGTTAGCTATGCGACGACTTATCCTATTATCCCGACGAGTGTCTTTACGCGATTACGATGTGTACGGTAGCCACGTGTACGATGTTACACGTGACCTCATTGCGACTAATTTCGAACGTTGTACGACAAGAAATAAACACATGTGACTTAATGTTCTTGCTATGTGTTCTCCTTCCGCTAATTCTATTATATTTAGTGGTCGGATTCTTGTCGATTGAATCTCGATTACGACGTAATTTCTATTTATGCGAATTCACGTTTGTAATAGAATTCCATTTAATGTGAAACATTTTTTGTTTCAACATTTTATCTATGCGAATTATAGATAATAGAAAGTTATGTGAATTTCGTTCATTTTCTTTTTTGTAGGTCTGATTGAAACGTATCGTATCAAGAAGTCATGGATAAGTAAGAGAAGAAGAAGTGAATCACAATTGAAATATTTATTTCCAACGATGTGTTCAAATATGGAATAATATAATTGTAATAAGGAAAAAGAAAAATTTTCAAAATATGAAGTTTTTGAATTAATTTTTTTTTTTTTTTTTTGAAATAGAAGCAAAGTGTATGCACAAGCAACCAGTAAACTCAGTTAAGTTTAGTTTCTATTGCAAAAGTATTGTTACTTATATACGGTGTTTCATATATACCATTCTTATTGGTACAATCATGATAACTGGAAGAAGTTACATTCACGTACAAGGAGACAATGTAATCAGTGTATGAAAACAACAGTGTATGAACTAAATGAAAGGATCGATTTCAAAATCAATTGTTCTCTCAAGGCCAATTCCTCACTTCAAATAACTTTATATCGTGCAAGTTGACTTTATCTTTTAGAATTTCATTACATTTCTGTCACTATTATTCCTCCTTTGTATGCAGATTCTTAGAATGGATAAAATAAGTGTAAAATAAAGTGACCGCTGAATTAACTTAAATATTAATTGGATTCAAAGATCAATTGGAACTTTGGATTATTAAAAAATTTTTTTGAAATTATTGAAATTATTTCTTAAAAGGAGAACGAGTGTGTTGATATTTAATATTTTTTTTCTGATGTTCTCAAAATAGTTCTTGCGTCAAATTTTATCAAATTTAATCAAGTAGATCTTTATAATTCAATATATATTTTCTCACATTTCAATTAAGATTGTTAAAGAATTATTGAAATTTAATGATATCGATAATGCTATTTTGTTACAATTTTCATCTATTTTTAAAACTTTAAAATTCTACGCTTTCCACGTTTATATTCAATAATTTTCAAATTCGTTAAATTTTAGGAAGGAAGAAAAACATAACTAAAATACTAAGAATTGTACGAGCAATTCCATTAGCTCATTGATCAAGATCCACTTCCTCGATCTGATCCTCCTCCACTCTATCGTTAAGGGTTGACAAACTCAGGGGTTTTTCCATGTCCAAAACCTCCCCTTCCTCCTTACGACCTTTTCTTTTCGATCTGTACAAAGGATTCTCGAATCTTCCGCCTGAAGATGACTCTTTGTTGTCCGTTTCTATATCCTCGAGATTTGATTCACGGATACTGGCGACATCTGTTATTTGAACGTTACCCTCTGAAATATTTTCAAAACGGGCGAAACCGAACGGTTTGCCAGCCTGTTTCTTGTCCACTCGAACTCCATCCCTTATCGAGGAAAATATTTGCGTGCAGCCCAACAGAATTCTGAAAATTATTTAAAATTTAATACGTAATTTTTATTCCCTCGAAAATGTAAAAATTAAAATATTCTACATTCTTTTCTATTTTCTTTAAATTTTGCTGTTCAAGATCCATAGAAGGAGATAGAAATATAATATTGATATTTTTAATTCTTTAATTCTTTGTAATTTTATTTTAGAATTTTTATTAATTATTATGATGGTTGTATTAACTATTTCTTAAATTGAAACATCTGAAGTCTAGTTTTTTTCACTTTTTATTATTCACTTTTTCCACTTAGAACTTTGTTGCAGTAAAATATTCACTATAATTCGAGTTTATATTTTGTTAAAATTATATTATATGCGTCCTATTTACTGTCGCTGTGGAACAAAGTGGAGGGAAGAAGTTAAAAGATTAACGAATTTTATTTTTTTTCTTTTAGAAACAACACTTTTAAGGAATAGTTGAAGAACTCGATTATGCAAGTTAAACGGTTCTTCTTTTCTTCTTTTTTTTCTTTTCGACTACTTTAGAAATTTACATTTTCCCCTTATGAATATTTCTCATCAAAGTTCTTTAACTCTTAAAAATTATCTCAAAAAAGAAATTGCGTTAATATATATTATTATTAAGAGCATGAAAGTTCATCTCGATATAGTTTGACAAAATATCTTTTTATTAGAAAAATTATTTTTCAATCGTCACGAACAATATTCCATACATTTCTGTTATGAATGGAATTTTGAATCTATAGTTTTTGATATATATATCAACTGTAATAGAATTTAAAAAGATTCCAAATATTGTTTTTTTCTTCTTTCTTTTCTCGTGATTTGGAATTTCATCTCATAAATTATTCGATTAAATATACATGTACATATTTTCTTTACATCTCTATTATGTATTTCAATGATTTGTTAGATAAGAAAATTTAGAAATCGCAGGTGTTTCAACGTGCAATTCGGTTCATCATGCGCAAACATGTGATATCACGTGGATTCGAAGCAATCTCTGCTGTTTTCCCGATAGTTTCGTCACTTGGAATCACGTGGATTAATGAAAATTTCTCAAATAGAACTCGTGACGAATCGTTATAACAATTAACACGAATCTTTTCAAGCAGAGATATAATCCTTGAAAATATTTCCACAATTTTCTTTAAATTTTTTTCAAAAAGTTCATACAACAAAAGAAACAAGAGTTCACAACAAATGTTCACATTTACTCCTTTTTTTTTTTTTACAAATTACAAACGCTCGAACTTAAAAAAAGGAATAAAAGGAAAATTTATTCACGAATATAATATTTCGAGATGTCGATAAAACTCTTAAGTGTGGATCTAAAAGTGTAATAAAAAGATATGCACCAGTGAATCCTCGCTGTAATTCACCAGTGAAATATCGTCCAATATCGTGACAATTAAAAATTTATCCAACGACGTTCTTCTTCTTCTTTCTTTTTTTTTTTTTAAACAACGTATTTCGTTCGTTCTCGTCCAGAAACATCCTGAGGGGAAGTTAATTTTGCAGACATCCGGTCCATAGGAGTCGCAAGTTTGCAGTTCGCCTCATGTTTCATATTCCGTGTAATTACTTTTTCCATCGCATCTTTCTTCCATTCTTCTTCCCTTTCCTTCCCATCCTTCTTTTCCATCCTTCGTTTCCCCGTTGTTTCTGCCACTCGACACTATCCGCCATCGACGCCCACATGTCGGATATACAAGGGTCAAATGGGACGAGCTTGATATGGAAAAGCTTCATAGCAATTTTTTTGCAATGAAATACCCTCGTTGAAATACTCATTTCCGTTCCCCCGTTTCGCGAAAACGTGCATCGTTCAGCTATTTTTGACGAGTTATTAATTTTGCTCTCTCTCTCTCCTCCACTCACGATTTCTTTCGATTTCATTTTTTGGCGTTTCGCATTTTTTTCTTTTCTCTCTCTCTTTTTGTTTAATTATATTAATACGTATATTCGTTTTTTTTTTAAATCATTTTTCCATGAAAAGTTGTTGGGAAAAATTTGAAAAATCGGAATTTAAAAATGTTGATATTCGTAAACATTTTAATCGAATCGTTATGTTACGTTATTTTATTCAAAGAAAAATCTCCTTGATTCATATTGATCATAAATTTAAAAAAATAAAAAGGACATCTCTCTTATGCAGAGGGGATATAATCTTTCTACCATATTATTCTTTTACGATCCCATTGTATCCCATAAATTTTTTAAATTACTTTCATCTTAAATCAGCATTATTAAAATTGTTCATCAATCCTCGTAATAAATGAGGTATAAAGAAACGGAATGGCTGTTCGTAAATATCATGATTTTCTTATATGTATACATATAACAATATATTGAACCATACATTCTTTCTAAGATATTAGAAATATTATTATTAACAATTTATTACTCACTGTCTGTAGGAATAGCCAAAGTATAAGAAGACGATGAATAAGAGTGCAAGGAGGATCAATGGTGTAACGAACAGCGAAGCCAGTGCAACAGTTGCGCCGTTATCCCGCAAAGCGGCACCGGTCACTTGTGCGGCGAAAACCTCGATTTTCATATCTGTCAACGGGAACAGAAATCAATACATAATTCAAAAAAAAAAAAAAACAATAGGAAGAAAAACGAACGACATCGTAACACAACAATAGTTAAAGAATTTACTCGAAAGGGTTGTCTTCACATCTTCCAACCCCTCGAGAATATCGATTTCCGAGTAATCGCCCTTCCTCTTTATCAGAACCTCGACACCGCCGCTCCAAGCACGTCTCACGTGCCAGGCAAGCTTCTCCTGGCGGCCTTCCAAAGCTTCGTCAGCGGCTGCCTGGACCAACGACAAAGACGTCCTGTCCGTCAAAGACAAACGGCCACCGCAATATCTGCAGCAATGGCCTTCCACCTGAATTTGAAAATCGTCGAGGATCGTCGGTGTGAAGAGACGCGCGTATATCAATCGATGATATGTTTAATTTTTCACCACCCAGAACGGATACTCGCAGGCAGGGTGGCCACACTTCGGTCTTTGAATGGCGCAAATTTCCTCGAGGTAGTAACCGTTCGGATCGTCCTGACAGGAACACTTCCCGCAATTGTATCCCGCGTATCTGCGCGAGATTTCGAATTGTTCTTATTAACACGTTCGTCGGCCAGCGTGATTTCCTCACGGCCGTAAGAACGTGAACAGAGCGATAAACGGAAGTTTAGTTTTTTATTTTAATATAAAATTTAGTTTTATATATATATATTTATATATATATTAGTTCTTAGCTTTCATTAACTAATTCTGTAATACCGATTCTGAATTAGTTGTTTTCAATGCCTCTACTTCTTTTCGCAATTTTAAGTATTTCTGAATATAAGTCTCTAATTGGCAACTCAGTTCTATGTTATCAGTGGTAATAACACCCTTCTATGTTATCATATACCATATATAATATTAGATTTAAAATTGTATCATACTTTTCTGTTTCTACTATTCTTAAATTTTAAATTCTGTGTGTTATTCCATTAAATTTCTTTTAAAATTTCAACTCTTTGCATTCATATCTCGCCATACAATCGTTATCCTATATTTTATTATTATACATATATTAACATTCTAGAGGGCTCTTCTTACCTGATTGATAACTTTCTTAAATATAAACATACAAATGGTTAAAATCTTTTTTTTTTTTGAAGAAGAAGAAGAAAGAAAATCACCCATATACGTGGCGACGAACGTGTTAAAGATTTACGAAGAATTGTAGAATTCTAAGCAAGTTCAAGAAGGATTGGAAGAATTAAATCGAATTTGAAATAAGATATAAGTTGAAAAATTGAAAAAATTTACACGTACCTCACGGTGGATATTCCTTTCTCGAACTCCCTTTTGGTTTCCAAATCTGCCCATTGCCAGGCGGTGTATGGACGCTTTTCATCGTTCGTTCGAACCGACCTCACTTCGATCCTCTTCATCGGCAAGAGAACGCTGAAGATACGCGTTTTTTCAGGCAGCACCACGTCGTCCTGGCGGCACGGCACCTGCTCGAGATGAGGCGCTGCTTCCGAGCTTCCGTTCCAATTTTCTGGATCAGCCCAGAACAAGTGGCCGGATCTCGACCACCGACTGATTTTCCTTGGCGAGTTTCCTCCTGGCTCGGTTAACTTTTGCGATCAGGGATGATAATATCGTTAATGAAAGGGTAAAATTTTTAAAGTAATTTTTATCGAATAATTTATTTTCTTTTTATTTTTTATTACTCTTCGTTCGAACCTGCTCAATAACAGAACGATAATTCCTTGATTCAATTTTGTGGATTTTATTAAGCGTGAAATGAGAGAAAGAGAAATTATCTGATTATTTTTACATTCAATTACGTACTCCAAAGTAAAAAGATACTTTAAAGGCGTAATGGAAGAAAAATATTTTATTCGAGTGAGATAATTGTTAATTAATCATTAAATTTATCATATTTGTTAATAATTTAGCAAACGTCCAAACATTCGACCAGAATAGGTACCATTGCACATCTATCATCAGTGACCTATTAAAACGATAATTTAATTTAGAGATTTGAAGATTACACTTGATAAATATAAATTTCGTTTTCGAAATATACCATTAAGTTTAATTTATCATTGCCCTGATTGTATTAATCGAAAATGATCTATGCGCCATATACCATGCGTATCGATGTTAATAATTAATCTGTTTCCATAAATTAACGAGTAAATAAAATTTACGCGTTACCTGTAATCTTCCGTTTCTAGGTAGAGCCAAGGATCCAGTTCTGGCCAGATCAATTCCAGAGAGTCTCAGATTCTCGGATTTCCCAATTCCCACAGCGTGTCTCGTATCCAAAGGAAACGTCACATAACTATCTAATTCCGGTATCCGTCCTCCAATCCAATTTTCAGCCGTCTCCCATTCCAAATTTGGTAGCCAATACTTCTCGACGCCGATCGATGATTTTATCAACATCGAGATAAATATCCATATTGTCCAAATTCTCACTTTCATATTCGTGCAAATTCTTTTTTCAAACTTCTTTCCTAAACTTTGTAAACGAAATCGATCAAATTTTATTCGAAGAAGCGATAATTTCAATTCATTTTTTTTTTTAATTTGAAGATTTTTTTTAGATTTCACGAGAGTATTGGTAACAATAGTGGAAAGAATGGAAATGGGAAAAATGTGAAATGGAATGAGGTAAAAATTTTTGACACAGATATGAAACTAAGCTTGAAACGACTAGGAAACGAACGATTGCCGGACTAAACTATCAGAAACTGAAGCGGATAATTGGAATCGAAGGGGCGTGCCAGATTTACGATATACTGCTCCAGACTTGTTTTATTATCTCTATTATTTAACTTTCCACGAATCTCCTAAAATAATCACGTGAAAAATCATTTTTTATAAAATGTATTTACACGTATTTTCATAATTTGGCAAAGTATTTCTTTCTTTTTTTTATTTGATTTGGAATACTTTTAATCTAAAAAATTAATACAATATTTAAAAATTTTGAATATTATTGGAATTAAAATGACGCAATGTTGCAATTTTTTTTTCCATGAAAAATTCTAAATAATTTTTTTTTCTTCATCTCTACAAGGTTATTCAAGGAATTATAAGCTTCGTTTTTTTCATCTCTTTTTTCCTTTTCTCTCTCTCTTTTTTTTTTTTTTGAAGAACATTTATTCGTCAAATATTTGAACAAAAATTATTTAAACAAAGTTCGCTTAAAATTAACGTTGTAAAAATAATATGATAGTTTGTGGTGTTTTTTTTTTTCTTATTCGAGTAACAATCGAGTGTTACGTCTAACATTTACATGGGTTTTGGAAATATGTTTTTCAATTATATTTAGCCATATTTAGCTAATTTTAATGTATAATAATTTCGAATTCACAATTGGACACAAGCGGATAAAGCACAGAGCTGGGTTAATTAGGCCGAAGTCAGGAAAAATTTCAATTTTTTAAATACATTTTTCGTTTCAAATAAAATTCCAATTCGATCCGCTAGAAATTTTCAAGCGGATGTTAAAACAGATGTTAATGTTTTACAAAATATTATATTTTCATTGCGATAAATCGACGTATTCCGTGAATAAATAAAGAATGTAAATAGCAGGTTTATAAATGCTTTATTGAAAATTTGTGACAAAAACATGTGATATATTATTCGAAATCATGGAAGAAAAATAATAGAATTCATTTTTATAAATTGTTGTCAACACCAGAACTACCTGAAAGGCGTAATTGTTTAAATATATTGATGATTATAATAATATATTAGTACATCTTTCCTACATACATCTCTCCTTCCGGCCAAAATCCATTTGTGCCATTCAGTCATTGTATCCCTGATACAATCGTGTTTCTATTCTAAAAAGCTAATTAAACACTGTAACATCAGAATATTATTAGAATATTGCCAAAAGTATACGTGTGGCAAAATGGGAAACTCGATTATGGTAGTTCTAATGTTAAAATCTGTGTAACGTCGTATCAGCGATGAAATGACTTATTACATATTATTATTATTATTATTATTATTATTATTATAATTATTATTATTATCAATGTAATGAACAAATTTATCTATACAATAGGAACTTTAATAAATCATTTTCAAAATTAATATATTGTAAAGATTTTGCTTCAGAGGTCACAAAACTTTCTATAATAAAATTCGGTCGTTTCGTTTTTAAAAATCTTTTCCACAATCTCTCGTCAATCGTGAATCCAAGCCAATCATCCAATACCTCCAATCTGCGCTGCATTTTATCATGGAAATCAAAATCAATCATCAAGATAATCCATCCCACCCAGCTCTGCTATTATTCACAACTAGAATCAAATCAAGAAATTAAACTTTCATCAATGAAGATTGAAATCTGTGAAGAAAATAAGGAAATAGAAAGTTGTTGCTTGACCGAGCAAAAGTAAAGTTCATAGGGGTGATTTATTATGCTTGAAAGGAATTAAAAGTTACAAGTAAGTGGATGTTGTTTAACGACAATAATTTTATTGAAAAATTCATCTTCAATGACACAAATGGCAATAGGTTGTTCGAGTTTCGACTTATATTCTTCTTCTAACTTTCTAAAGAAGCGTGTTGTCTTGGGATGATCGAGAAAAAGTTTTTTGGAAGAATAACATTGGAAATAAATTATATTTTTATCATTATTGAATTGCCTCCAAGTCGATTAAGTCAGATCGAGGAAAATTGATACTCTAATAAATTTTGAAAATTTCCAACGTATGGAAAAAAAAATACTACAAATGCACAAGCGTCTACAATTTATTTACAAGATCGATTGTAAGGATAAGATTGTATTGTCAATTGCAAGATTTGTATACAACAATTGCATTCATTTACAGCGAGAGTCGAAGGTAAATGCAAGTAATATTCAAACATTGATGAACGTCCGTATCTTTCCCTTGTGTTCCTTTTTTTTAACCAATATGCGTGTAAATAAAGATCAAAAAATTTTTAATTGTACAACGATCTTCAAGTACAAAGTTTATTAAAACAAATTCCTCGCTCTCGAGATGCACATTCACTTGAAAACCACCAAGTACAATCAAAAGAATAGTAAGCACCCAAGGAATGAGAAACGGTAGATATATATATACTCGAATGAAGAGCAGCAAAAATTATTGCCTCGATGAGAGACCCTTTACCCGGTCAAGCCGATAAAAATAGCGAAAAAAAAACTCGTGTTAAAAGAGAAACGTTGAAAGTTCAAAATGTGTCTTTATTTTGTTGCGTAATCGATATACTTCGTCTGACAATAAAACTCAGCGACATCGAATTGGAGCTACATTGCCGTTTTACGTCGGCGACACACCATCGTGACGAGTCGTCGACCGATATTCCCTCGAAGAGGATCTACTGCGGCGAGTCCTCCTCGTCCTCGGGCATCCTCTTCCCAAGCCCGAAATGATATCTCTGGCTGAGCATGTCGTTCGGTCTCTTCGAGCCTAGCGGCTGCCCACCGCTGTAATGCACCGCCCTCTTCCCTAATCCGAAGCTGTAAGGCTGCCTTCCCCGTTTCTCCTCGAGAAAGTCGTCCGTGTTCTCTTGGGAATGGAACGCGGGATTGTCGACGGGAAGGTAATCCAGGTTCAGTCTGAGGGGGTAGTCCGTGTTGTCGTTCCGTTTCCCCAGGCCGAAATTGTATTGTCTTCGTTTCCCAAGGCCGAAGGAGTAGTCGCGCCCTCTCTGGAATAATAGAATGTTTCGAGAATGGAGAGTAGGACAAGAAAATGCGATGGAAAATTTAAATCGAAGAAAACTCGTGAGAAGAAGATATATATATATATATATATATATAGTTTCAAATCGATACTTCAAAGGATTTGACTTTTGAATCAGTTTCAGAGTCTTTGGTGTGCAACTAAGACCGTTATAAGGGAATATTTTTCCAGAAATAAACACATCTGTTACGCAGCCCGGCTTAAAACTCGTTTAAATCGTATTAAAATTAAGAAAACTTTAAACCGCTATAACTCGGAAGATAGCGACTTTTTCGCGATGGGTGGCAGGTCGTTAGAAGCGCGGATCCTTCCCCTTTAAAACGCTTTTTGATTTATCTCGATACGACTTCCGGTTGCCGAGATATCGTCGTGTAAAGGAAAGGGTAATTTTCGATGGTTTATTATCCTCGTCCTTGTTGTTTACTCGGACCTCTCGCTCGCGCCTCGTCTCACCGACCTATCCCAAACTCCAGACAAGTGTCAGACGCGATTCCTGGAAAAAGCGTAGTACGCATTTCTAGGAAAAATATGTAGGTCACTGGGTCGCGGGCCCATTCATAATTTTTACCTTATAGGCGTCGAGCGGTAGAAACTTTGAATCCTCGTATCTCGACAACGGATTGAGATATCGGGATAAATCAAAAAGGAGATTCAATGGGATGATTTCCTCTATTTTTCGAGTGGGTTTCGATGACAAAATTCTTGGTCTCTTTTCACGATTTTTTACATGAAAATTCGAAATTTTATGATCTAATATATATATATATGTATAGAAATTGAAATTTAATTTGATCTTTTTTATATTCGCATAGCACAAATAATATATAAATATACAAATATACATTGTTTTAACAGAAAAAGAAAAATATTAAAAATTAGATTATATAAATTATTGATCGTATGTTTTCAGGTTTTGAGAATCATTATGCTTCCTGTTGCTTGAATCGCTGTGGATATAATAAGGAGATTTTAATAATCGTGATATTCTCACCTTGTTATCATTAGTATCGATCCAACGCTTTCCAATACCAAAGTTGTAGACGGGTAGCCTCTTATACTCGGAAACGTAAGTGTACGCTCTCTTTTCAGGCACAGTATCGTCGAACGCCATAGGATTCAACATATTGTTATAATGTTGAAGATTCATAGACGAGGCTGGTGTTTCTTCCATGGCTAAGGCCGACCTTCCCACCATCCCAACGAAATAGAGGAAAGCCAAGCTCGATGTCAGAACGCTTGTCCTGGTCCTCATTCTGAGCTTTGCCTCTTTTTTAAGCCTGATTTACAAAAAAAAAAAAAAGAAAATTCGTAATTGAAATTGATCGATCGTGATTGAAAACGTGATAGTTTAAAATTGAATTCTCAGAGTTGGTGGACGGATAATTTTATTCGTGCAGGGAGAAACATTTTGATTTCGAAGCAAATCTGTTTCCAGATTTCGAATTGAGTTGGAAAATGTCGCGATGAATAGCGAGTGACACGGATCCTCGAAAATTGCTTTTCCACGTATCTAATTTATCAAGGATTTGTGGCTTTCCTAGCTCGAATCGAGTTTCATACTTCTGCCAATATTGTGCTGTTTCGTTCGAAAATTTTTGATTATTAAATTACTAATTCCATTAATTTTATTACCATATTCTATATCTCATATTAAAATCGTACTTCAATAAAAAAAAAAAAAGAAGTAATAATCTATAATATATTTTCAAAAACATTTTATCCTTTCAATGACAATACTGTTCTAACGTATTAATTAATGATAAACAAATTGTTTGATTCAAATTTATCATTCCTGATTCTTTTTATTCAATCCTTTATTATAAGCCATGATGATT